CACCAACCCACACGAGCTATGGTTCTGAGACAACGATTGTCGAACACCTGAAGACGTCTCAGTTCCGCTGCTCGAATAGGCCAAGTCTCAGCCATACAGCAAAACAGCCCGCACTGTAGCTTGATACACACGTCCCTTGTGATTAGGGATACACCAGTTTTACGCCACAGATGTCTCAAATTAGCGAACGTTACCCGGTCCCGCAGATTCGTGCGTTGACCTCATCTATCACAATACATTTGAATTTCCAAGGATAATCATTCAAGCATTTGGTTCGGTGGAATAGAGAATTGCCCCAGTTCAGTAGATCAGTAGTTTCTACCCTGCTTCATCCGTCGCGCCCTTCCCAAACTATTATTCATCTAACATGGATTGGCTTGAAAGTTTTCAAGGAATATATGGAAAATTTTTGTAATGATTCACTTTTCTTTCATCAGTATACACAATATAGTTGGTTTTCTGTCGAATCATGAGTGTCCAGGTACACGCCGCATGAGTGAAAACAACTCGTCTGGGTTTGTGATCGTTACCAAACCCGCTTCCACTTTCTATTAGATTCGGTCATAGTGGTTTTTCCCGATGTTGGCATTTGAGGTTGGATGCTTCTTATAAAAATGTACTCGTCTGAATGTTTTGTCGAAGGTGTGAGCAATGAGAATTCCTCTATTTCTCCTGTTTTTGGACAAGAAGCACGGACCCGAGACCATAATTTGTCCATAAATGCTCTTATTTCGGAAGTTGGTCTTTATTCAGTGAGAAATTATTCCAACCGAGCCTTTTCATGGAAAGGAATCTTTGGATGTGTCTGCTGTTATCTTGTGCTGTCCGGTGTCTGAGAGTGTCAGTGAATGGGTGATCCACGGGGCTCGAAACAGGATTTGAAGATACTGTTTTCAACATCCTAGTCTTTTTAGCCGCCCACAATTCCGAATTTTTCGGTGTACTCTCGGGAGGTTTCTAGGTTGGACACTATCATAGGTTCGGAATAACTCTGTGAACACATGTATACTGACGCCTATGTATTGTACAAATGCGGCCAAACAGGTCCGCTTTGTAGAAATGCGTACACAACTCCGATCACACATACGTGCAAACAGTCGGGCACACACCCACTCACCTAATCAGTCACACCATAGTTCGCTAGTGGATCGACGAATGTACACGCACACGTGCAAACTCTCGTATACATCAAATCGGCCACTACACATTCTGCATTGTGTATCTTTTTCTTGCTCAAGATGAATCCGTCTACACTGCTACTTGAAGGTCTGCGGTTCGAACTCAACTGTTGTTTTCAAACTGACCACTTCCGGGCTTTGAACATTTGCCAGTGTATCAGCAGTGCGATGTCTCATGTGGCTTGTGTGTCGAGTATGGCTCCAAATAGTGCCACGACTGAACAACTGAAGATTATTTCTCACACACGCAGCTTCGTAAACTAAGTGAGCCAAGTGATTAGCATCTTTTAATGCATCCTGCGGAGCAATTTATTCTCTTCCAGCCGGTGCAAACTGCCTGTACGCGGTTCGGAGAAAAATCAGTGATTTCATACTACGCCAGAACTTTAGAATCTGGAATTAGTCAGTTTTCATGTCTTTCAAAAATATTACTCAAACCTCTTGGATATAAGTTGCGTCGGCGAAAAATATTTGACACGAAAATGCGATATCCTCTTGTTTTTATGGTATCCTACCAATCAGTGTTTGGGCAACCAGGGTTAATTTGTTCAACATGTCTCCAAGGTCAACAAACAGTGCTATTATTTTACACGTTTCCATGACATTATTTCTGGCAACAAATTTGTTTATCAACGGAGGTTCCCATGGACAATTGCTAGCTTGCTCGTTTCCCACAAAAGTTGGATACTTATCATTCACTTCATAGTAGCATTATCTAGACGATGGCAAGCATCGTGACCTCTTATCGAGCCATGTAAGATCGATTTGAAATGCAAATGAGTGACAGTTAGAAATCGATAGTTTCGGATTAATCCCAAATGTTTCAAACGAGCGCTGTAATTTTCTTGTCACTAATGTAATCCGTTGACGATGAATTTCAGTGGGTCACTTAATCGGTTTACTTTTTTGTGTTCGGAAACGCCTGTTGAGTTGCTGGGCTTTGTTGTCAATAGGATTGATTGCCCGAAAGAATAACACAGTTTCTTGAAACGTGCCAGGCGCTCTTTTTAAGTGAATATTATTTTTTTGGTGGAAATTCAACATTGGATCTCACTGTAACTATTGAAAGAATATATTTTCTGTCAACTTTCCGTACACCAATGGGGCACATGAAGAATCCAGATTAAAAAGCACTGATAAAAAAGCTGATTCAATGCCCCATGCGGATTTGTTGCGAATAGGCAACCAACCAAACAGAGGTAGGCTATAATGAAGTAAGCGAAAAAAACACTGAAGGACATTCCCGCTTCCACTTGACCGACGGACCCGCCTGAGGTGATTTCCGTTAGAAAACATACGCCCAACTTACCATACATATCACGAATTCTATTTTGAAGTCAATCAAGTTGGCCACCTCTCGGTACATTGTTCAAGCTGCCTGGTAAGAAGAGGAGTGAAGGTGGTGGCGTCAAAGCCTGATGAAGAACTACTCCATGCCGAAAATCTATTACGCGCTCAGATGAATGATTCAACGGACATGGATTTTAGTCCATCGAAAGAAGAACGTCTAAAAGGCTACTCCTCATTGAGCAGTGAAACTGTTAATGGTCATCTTTTTCCAGTCGCCTCCCGTAGCCGCACGAGAGGAAAAATTGCAATGTACATTCACGGTATCAGACAGAATGCTTGAACTAAGGATATGATTAGACATGTTTCCATGTTGGATTGTGTCTCCAGCCGCCCGTGGCTAATACCTCATTTACGGTCTGTTAGATGATCTACAACAATTTTGCTAATCGACACGGCCAAGGCTTCCACAGCGTATCACACTGGTTCTGGGTTCTAATGGACGTACGGATCAACCTCGGAGGCGGGAAGATGGAATGATTCGTCAAAAGAAACATACGTTGCTCCTCATTGGTGTACAGTCGAGTCTAGGTTGCATATTTCGAGATTTGCACACATATCTGTGAGAGATCCTTCTGAGATCTAACCGTGTCAGACAACGAGCATCTTAATTTTTGATTGTTTATTATGTCAAATTGTGCTTGGAATACAACTCTAACAGTTGCGATTGGTTGAAGACTAACACAAGAATCCGGTAAATCTTTGAGGATCCATCATCACCATCGACGACATAAATCAGTATTCAACACTGATGTTCTACTGCCATACTCTCGTAATTTGTTTTTTTGTGGGCGCGGAGAATATAAGTGTTTTTGGCAAACGATGGTTCGGCATATGCCATACATGGCCAGGCCACTAGAGCTTTTGGTGCTGAAATGAATGCTAAATGCTGTTAAAGCGTCGTATCCGGGTGTACGTCGAGTAGTCTTCAGAGCTTGACAGTTATTGTGGCGTGTAGCTGTGCTGTTCGTTTTCAAAGTACTATTTAACTAGTCAGTTAAACGCAGTATTCTGGTGTGTAATTGAGCTACTTAAGCTCAGTGTTCTACTGTTGGGAAACAATTTACAACTTCAGCAGATTTGGATCATCTGGCCCAATACAAAGGCCTCGTAGGGCTGGAATTAGAAATAAGGAAATTACGCAGATTGTGGAAGAGGAGCGGAGCTGGTTTGCACACGAAAGTCAGTCGTTCAACGCAGCTGTTTGTCTAGTCTCAGCCTACTCTATAAAACATGACATTCACACAGGGTGTGACACACGGGATTTATGGGTACTGTCATCTTCGCAAGTTCTAAGGATTTGCCACGGAGGGAAAGTGGCACCTACACTCCATTGGATCAGTTTTACCGCTCTATGTGACTATGTCTACATTGGTTGAGGCATCCATAATTTTCTGCATTCCGGTCGGCTGTAATGATCTGGCGAACACAAGCAAATGGAATGAGATTCCATTAAGGCCAAAATGACTCTGACCCAGAAAAGTGAACTCTTCGCAGGTTCATTTTCTGTGGTTTGAATTCCCATGTTCTCATATTTCATCAGTCCCTATGAGCTGATTTTCGCAGACGTTTACAACCGGTCGTTATTTGGAGACTTTGTCTCTATGGAACTTTCTCGCGAAGTACATCAACATTGTACCTACTGCTCTTCTTTCGTTAGAATGGCGGAATCTTGCACCCAATGACAGGCAACAACTCATCGGTGAACCTCGTGGAAATGACCTCCTAATAGGGCGAGTTTAAGGAAACCTCGAAGGTTGTATCCTAACGATATTCAGTTCACATCAACAGCATCTGACGGATATTGTGTGTGGATGATAACATTAGCGGCTTACCATCCTGAAATGCAGACCTTTACAGCATACACTTGTATAATGGTCAAACCAAAAGATCAGGTCTGGTAGGGTGAAAAAATTGTAACTACTAGCGTTTGCGATAAGTTGTTCCTGCTAATTTTCGTAGGGGAAAAGATTACTGGCGATACTGTTGAGTATCTTCCGCCTAGAACTGTGCTTATAGGATAAGTGTATCGTAATGTACACGTTTACGCATCAATTTTATTCCTTTGGAACCTACAGCCTCCACTTTTTACGAAGCTTGACTTTACGGAAACTTCTTGTAATTTACCAGGTATGTGGAGGCGTCTGGTGGTTCATCTACTATTAACTGGCAAGTGGGTTTCGGATGCCTTACTTGCATAGTTCATTGGGGGAAAATTCGAAGAGTAGAAAAGCTGGTTGTCAATCGGTAGTCGGTTGCACAAAAGATTTCTTTCGAAATACTCTAAAACAGTGTCGTCTCAACCTCAGATGTCAACTGTCGACTTTACTCCGTGATCATGAGGGGATAATGTGTACGCAGATTGAACGGAATGAGCATTTGTATATGCCAGATAATCGGACCGTTTGCGGGTACTTGAACCTACAGTTAGGACTAAACATAATTTTATCGGGGCGATGATGCCTTTAATAGCAGTCTTCTTTGTACCGAAGGGGCAGCCAAGCTTCACAAAGTTCGACCTTTGCGTTCGAATGCCTAGCAAATGTATCGATCGTCCTTAGCTTGCCGTATAGGTTTCGGCCGCGTTGTTATCAGCCATCTGTTGCTTCGTCTGGTTATATGGCCAACAATTGCAATCGATACTTTGCGATGTTAAGTTTGCACATAAACTTTATTTCTCTTCCGTGTGCGTTGCAAGTGTCACATTCATTACTGTGTGCAGATGACGACCTTCTCAGCTACATACCTGCAACTCTGTAGGTTAGCACCGGTAGACAATATACGAACTCTGAATCTTTCACCTGATGATAGGCGGCATGAAGTGCACTGACGATGACCCACTAATCCATCCAAGTGATGTATCGAAACAGTTTACACGATTTTACGGTTTTTTTAGGGTGCTGGTACATTCATCTTTTTTACCGTGTCCAGAATTTGTGAGAACAATGTAGCTCAGGTGAA